ACTACCCTAAATGCCACGTGACGCGACAGAATTGCAACAATGTTATTAAAGGTGTATACAAATTCCAACGACCATACCATGCTGAGCACAGCGATTCCCATTCAAAGTGTCTACGACAAAACAACACGCTACATGTTCGATCACCAACATTAAACAACTTCCGGTTCAATTTTTTTAAAGGTGGAGGACCTTGGTCCAATAATTTACAATGTGAAATTCAAAAGTGGAAAAATAAACCCGATATTTAAAAATTAAATTGAGGCCCTACAATAGACACTGATTTTTTTAAAATCATTTGTATATGTCCTACCAAAGGGATGGATTTTTTTAAAAACATTTTTCAAGCTCTATCAAGGACCTACATATGGCCTGGATTTCTTTAAAAATATTTTTCAAGGCCTATTAGAGGCGTGGATTTTTTTATATTTTTTCGAGGTCTATTAAAGGCGTGGATTCTTTTAGAACTAGTTCTTTTTTCAAGGACCTTCAAAGGCCTATAAAAAGTGAACATTTTTTAAAAACATTTTTATAACGAGTGGTTTTATCTAGGGCTGAGGTAAGCTCATCCGTTGCCAGGGTCAATTCATGGACCCACAAACCTTAAATAATAACACGAGTTGTAAATGACTGTATCTTTTATTACAATACTCGGATGTTAAGACAATGGATAATGTGTGTAAATTCAGATGTTCTTATATATGGTTTACAGTAATTACTCTTGATCGTTGGCCTTTGGGCGGAACGCAGAAGCAAGCTGAACGCGGGAGCGTGTTAGATGCTGGAGCGTGTTGAATATGGGAGCGGGCAGAGCGCAGGAGCGAGATAGATGCTGGAGCGTGTTGAATACAGGAACGGTTATATGTAGGAGGGCGCAGAGTTCAGGAGCGAGCTGAACGCGGGAGCGAGTTAGATACTGGAGCGTGTTGGAAACAGGAACGGTTATATGGTTCCTGTATATACATATACAGGAACCAGTTAGGTGCTGGAACGTGTGAAATGCAGAAAGCTGGCTACGAGCGTGGAGCTGGCTGTGAGCGGGAAACTGGCTACCATGGTCTATAAATAAGATCACCAAGGCAGACCAGCTGATAATCGATACCTCTCAAGTTTGCTGTCAAAATGCATTATTATGAATTGGCTTCCATTATGAAAACGTAAACAAAGTCGAAATTTTTGACATTAGACTTGAGAAAAAACAGCTGTTTTCCGATTTCGATTGCTATCTTGGTGACCTTATTAATAGATCTTGCTGGCTACGAGCGGGGATCTGGCAATGAGGTCGGATCTAGCAAAGAGCGGGGAGCTGGCAAAGAGCTGGGGCCTAGTAAAGAGTGCAGGAACGAGTTAGGTGCTGGAGCGTGTGAAATGCATGGAGCTGGCTCCGAACGTGGAGCTGGCTGTGAGCGGGAAGCTGGCAAAGAGCAGGGAGCTGGCAAAGAACTGGGAGCTAGCAAAGAGCGGGGAGCTAGCAAAGAGCGGGGAGCTAGCAAAGAGCGGGGAGCTAGCAAAGATCGGGGAGCTGGCAAAGAGTGGGGAGCTGGCAAAGAGCTAGGAGCTGGCAAAGAGCAGGGAGCAGGCAAAGAGCAGGGACCGGGCAAAGCGCAAGGCCGCAGAATTTTTTTAACGACTGACGAGCTACTATGACTGCGGTCCTGCCACACGTCGACTTCACTGTTCGCTAACTCTGGTTTTCGACCACTTCGCTAATGAAAAGTGAAACACTTATCCATATGGCCTAATTAAGTGAATGAGAATTATTCACTCACTCTACAGTGCAAAATACACTAATGTTAAAATGGGGGAATGAATAAGCATTGATGGTTGTATTGTTGATCGCACAAGTCATGTGTTGTTGTAATAGAGGTAAAATTGTGTTATAGATATTAGGGTGGTAGTATTACTGGTATTTTATAAGAAAACTGTATGGATATTAGGGTGGGCAGTATTACTAGTATTTTATGATGAATATGTTGTGGAGCTATGTGACGGCCACGTTACATCTCCCCCCTTCGAAATAAAAAATATATATTTATTTTATAGCTTTAAAACAATTGTTTACTGTTTAGTGTTGTTTGTTTTCCTAAATTTAAAAGGTTTCAGGCGGCTGTTCTACAGCTTGAAAAGAAAAAAATTACAAATTATAGCCTATCTGATTTCTAGTAGAACTAACTATGCTGTCTTACAGCATTAAAATGTTTCAGTCGGCTGTCCTACAGCTTGAAAAAAGAAAACTAATTATAACCTATCGGATTTCTAGTAAGAACTAACTATTCTGTCCTACAGTATTAATATAAATTTTCTTAAATGTTTTTTGTTTGAGGATTATAGAGACGGGAGTGTTGATTATTTGGCACCAAAGAAACGACTACGGATACCCCTCCACATTGTAGTCGTGCTCGTCCAGACACCAAGAAAGCAATTTTGACTTGAGGTCGATTGGGGTAGTGCACCACTGACTGGTGACGACGACCACGTGGTTTCTGGATTCACAACGACTGCAATCATTCTGCCAATTCCTGTTTTCAATCAGGGGCACGCAAATAAGAAAGCGGGGTTGGTGCTATTGCAATATTTCGTTCAACAGTTGTGACATTGATGGGTTATGGACCATCGTAGAGAATCCTCCCGAAGCACTATTTGGGTATTCAGATAGTTCACTGTCATAGAAGGGCTGTCGACATCTGGTATTTGGGGCATATTGTGATCAGGTGCGTGTTGAGGAGGTGTCGTCACCGTCGATACAATTACCGATCTGTGACTAGTTATGGACACAGTTGGGTCCTGCCGAAGTCTCCCTTGGAACTAGGCTGCTATCACTATTCGATATTTCGGACGAAGAGAATGCCTGCGGTGGAGATTCTGGACTATCCCGAAATCGAATAACTCGGTCAGAAATTATCCTTGGCCGGGCTTCTAATGGAGGCACATATGGTTTTGGGCGTTGTGGAAGTGTAACTATCTTCCGTGGCCTTGCGTTCCATGTCGTTCGCTAGTTATTAACAGAATGATTAAGTTCTCCTCTGTGGTTTATAAAGAAACTTCGCAACGAATGATAACGGTATCCTTCTAGATTTTAGTACATTAGAATGTTGCTGATTGTTTTTTTTTCTTCTCTCTTCATTTCTATGAATGACGTGGATTTTTTAAAAATATTTTTTCAAGGCCCATCAAAGGCGTGGATTCCTTTAAAATGTTTTTTTCAAGGCCCGTCAAAGGCGTGGGTTTTTTGAAAATATTTTTTCAAGGCCTAAAAGAGCCTTGGATTTTTAAAAATATTTTTTCAAAGACCTACATAATGTGTGGATTTTTTTTAAAATATTTTTTCAAGGCCCATCAAAGACGTTGATTTTTTTTTAAATATTTTTCAAGGCTCATCAAAGGCGTTGATTTTTTTAATATTTTTTCAAGGCAAGGCGTTAACGGACTAAGGCAAGACGTGGATTTTTTTTAAAATATTTTTTCAAGGCCTAAAAGAGGCTTGGATTTTTAAAATTATTTTTTTCAAAGACCTACATAAGGCGTGGATTTTTTTAAAATATTTTTTCATGACCTAAAAGAGCCTTGGATTTTTAAAAATATTTTTTTCAAAGACCTACATAAGGCGTGGATTTTTTAAAAATATTTTTTCATGACCTAAAAGAGCCTTGGATTTTTAAAAATATTTTTTTCAAAGACCTACATAAGGCGTGGATTTTTTAAAAATATTTATTCAAGGACCTATATTTGGTAGACTGTACATACAACGCAGAGTTCTTCCGTTAAATTTCAGGTGTCAGCCTTGAAGTCAGGACCAAAAAAAAGAGTAATTTAAAACATTCGGGTCTCGAATATTACTATGAAAAAAATTACAATAAGCAATTCAAAAGTAGGAGAATAATACTCAAGTGCTTAGAATTCTCTACGACCCACTAAATGTAGGAATTACAAAAACTGCCTTGAAGTAGAAGGTGATCCTACCTTTGTAACCCCGTCAACGACCAGTAAGGAGAAGATGGGAAAGGAAAGCAGCTTTAAAATTATATAAGGTATACGATTTCAAAAACTTTAAAGAAGTCTCGATAAATTGAATTCCTCATTTGGAAATCTAGCTACTATTGAAGAATCGAAATAAGTTCAGAAGCAGTGATCTAGATGAATGAAAGAACCGGATCTAATACCGATCGTTACTCTTCGCAGAATGGCTGCTTTGAACATGTTCGCTCGGAATTTCCAGGGAATTTTGGGAATTCCGATTTTAAATCATAGCTGCAATTCCATAGAAGAATGTTAAGGAGTATACATAGGTTGAAGTTTAAAAAAAATATAACTACTTTTTTTCTAGGGGCATAATATAAAATCCGTTGATCTCGAATATTACTATTAAACAATATATTTTGTCAGGAGAGGAACCAAAACCGAATATATCCAGAAAAAAACTGAGATAAAGTTGGTTAATATATTCTACGTCCGAATGTAGGAACTCAATCAATCTTTTTCGAACGCAAGGCAGGAGCTAGCGCTACCAAGAGGAAAATAATTACAACTCTATGTAAGCAAGGACCCCAAACAAAGCGCAAATTTAAAGGAGGTATTTTTTCTAGGCAACGATAGATAGCAGACCCATTAAGCTAGGGCAGACTATAGAACACGAATAATCTACCTAAAAACACGTTGACCTCGAATTACTTTGCCATGAATCAAAATCGAAAGTATCCAGAAAAAAGGCAACTGAGATAAGGGGCGATAAGGTAAGGTGGAGAGGAACAAATATGGCTTCTAAACTCAATCAATCTTTTTCGAACATGAAGTTGGAATGTACGAACAGGGTTGCCAAAGCATAAATACAAATTTTATTCTGTGATAACCTATCATCTCTTCCTATCATCTTCAGTTATATTATCAGTTCACAAAATGTATCTGCGAATATGGAGACATTGATCCCGACTATTTTATTATCTGGAAATATTTCCTTCACAAGTTTTAACAAAAAAAACAATAAAAACTCATCTTCACTGTAGCCTTCAATTCTTTAAAGCAGCACCCAAATCCAAGCCGCAATCCTTGCAGGTTCCCAGCACACATCTGGACCAGTTTTCACCGCTGTTGCAGCTGAAAAATAAATGTATACACATCACTCAAAATTGGAACCACTTCCTTTATCTGTGACAGAACTTACATATCCTTCTCATCATATTCCATGGTGGCCAGACATTTCTTGCCGGCTGCTAAGATTTTTGGGATTTTACTTTCATCACCACCATATAAAACATAGGCAGCCCTCAAGGGAACTTCTTCGGTAAGTTTGGCATTTTCATCGAACTGAAAATAAAGTTAAGGAAAGTAAAGAAATTTAATTTACAGAGGAAGAGGGTCATCAAGGAAAGTACTAGGTAAGGCAATGAATAATAAATTAAGACAAAAATCCAGAAAAAACACTTTGAAAGGGTGACTTCCAAAAGTATGGAACTGCCGGTATAACTTTGATTTATGGGTACTATAATCGATTCAGAAAAAAACTTAGAGAGTTGCGGAGTTAATGAGATAACGAGGAAGGCTTGAGGAAAAAAATAGAATTTACAGAAAGGAAGATTTCATAGAGAAATGGATTTAAAATTTAAAAATATGCCTTTGTTTCGAATAACTCTGAAGTTTCCACCCAATTTGGGAATCAGACTTCCCTCTCAAAAGAAGTCAGTTTGTACTAAAAAAACTTATCCAACCGCCAAAATAGAATTTACATAAGGAAAGCGGTGATAGAGAAATTGATTCACCGTGCGATTAAAAAATATCGCTTGAGGAATAAGGCCTTTGTTTCGAAAAACTCTGAAGTCTCCTCCCAATTCGCGAACCAGACTTCCCTTTGTCACTCTGAAGTCGCCTCCAAATTCGCGAATCTGACTTCCCTCCAAAAAAAAAAAAAAACAGTTAATATCAAAATACTTACCCAACCGCAATCCCTCATAGTACAGGTACGGAAGCACTTGCCTTTTTGATCAACAGCTTCCTTGTGGGCAATCCAATCCGTCAGAAGAGCTAGAAATAGAAAATAAGACACAGAAATTAAATAGAAATTTTCGATTCAAGTGGCTATGGATCCAACATGTGGAATATATCAGGTAATTAAAGGAATAATCTGGCTAATTGTAAAATCTCTTGGAAAAATCCTGCAAAAATCGAAATACGAATATATTTGTACTAAAATGAAAAGGTTCCCCACAAATAGAGGACAAAATATCTTCTCGCGTCTCAAAATAAATTTAAAAAATATTTTTTAGATCCCTAAAAAATTAAAAAATATAAATAAAAATTTCAACTCTAACTAAGCGAAGACAAATTTCAAGGAGATATTTTTTCTAGGCAACGATAGATGGCAGCCCCATTCATCTACTTCTAAGTAAGCGAGGACATCAAACATAGCACAAATTTCAAGGAGGTATTTCTTATAGGCAACGATAGATGGCAGCCCCATTCATCTATCGTTGCCTAGAAGAAATTCCTCATTGAAATTTGCGCTATGTTTAATGACCTCGCTTATTTAGAAGTATTCAGGAGAAAAAGGAGGAGTATATTAGGAGATAAAAATCGTGTATTATCTCTGATAATTTTTCTGGAGGTCTCGAATATTACTAAACACTAAAATGCAATGTAAATTTTTATATATAAAAATTGCAACTCTAAGTAAGCGAGGACATCAAACATAGCGCAAAATTCAAGGAGGTATTTCGTCTACGCAACGATAGATGGCAGCCCCCTTCAGCTAGGGCGGACCATAGCACACAAATCATCTACTTAACTGATACAAGGACTAATCGATCAAGATTGGAAAATTAATATTTTAAAAAATCCAATGGCAAATTAGATCAATCATCTACACGCCTGGCAATGCTTTGGCGGAAGAAGTATTCAGGAGAGAAAAGAGGAGCTATGAGGAGATAAAAATCCTGTGTTATCTATGATAATTTATCTGGCGGTCTCGAATATTACTAAATACTAAAATGCAACATGAAACTTTGTAGGTCTATGGAAAATTAATATTTAAAAAATCCACGCCTTGTAGATCTATGGAATATTAATATTTAAAAAATCCACGCCTTGTCGGTCTATGGAAAATTAATATTTAAAAAATCCACGCCTTGTCGGTCAATGGAAAATTAATATTTAAAAAACCCACGCCTTGTCGGTCAATGGAAAATTAATATTTAAAAAATCCACGCCTTGTCGGTCAATGGAAAATTAATATTTAAAAAAATCCACGCCTTGTAGATCTATGGAAAATTAATATTTAAAAAATCCACGCCTTGTGGATCTATGGAAAATTAATATTTAAAAAATCCACGCCTTGTGGATCTATGGAAAATTAATATTTAAAAAATCCACGCCTTGTGGATCTATGGAAAATTAATATTTAAAAAATCCACGCCTTGTAGATCTATGGAAAATTAATATTTAAAAAATCCACGCCTTGTAGATCTATGGAAAATTAATATTTAAAAAATCCACGCCTTGTAGATCTATGGAAAATTAATATTTAAAAAATCCACGCCGTGTAGATCTATGGAAAATTAATATTTAAAAAATCCACGCCTTGTAGATCTATGGAAAATTAATATTTAAAAAATCCACGCCTTGTAGATCTATGGAAAATTAATATTTAAAAAATCCACGCCTTGTAGATCTATGGAAAATTAATATTTAAAAAATCCACGCCTTGTAGATCTATGGAAAATTAATATTTAAAAAATCCACGCCTTGTAGATCTATGGAAAATTAATATTTAAAAAATCCACGCCTTGTAGATCTATGGTAAATTAATATTAAAAAAATCCACGACTTGTAGATCTATGGAAAATTCATATTTAAAAAATCCACGCCTTGTAGATCTATGGAAAATTAATATTAAAAAAAATCCACGCATTGTAGATCTATGGAGAATTAACATTTAAAAAAATCTACGCCTTATAGATCTATGGAAAATTAATATTTAAAAAATCCACGCCTTGTAGATCTATGGAAAATTAATATTTAAAAAATCCACGCCTTGTAGATCTATGGAATATTAATATTTAAAAAATCTACGCCTTGTAGATCTATGGAAAATTGAAAAAATCTGGCGGTCTCGAATATTACTATGAAAAAATATTATTTAAAAAAAATCCACGACTCGGCAAATATACTCACCCTTATCTCCACCATATTCCTTAAGGCAATCGGCAAATACCTTCTTCATATCCGATCCTGGGCACACATCGATCTGGAATTTGAAGAAAAAAAAGTAAAATAATTCAAAATTTGTCCATTAAACAAATCCCTCAAATAGAAACTTACCAGGCCATAACAGCCAACAACAATTAACAAGAAAATTCCGATTGTCTTCATTGCGCGACGTTTAAACTGCGAATTACAACTGTTCGCAATCTTAAGTGCCGTTGTAGGTTTATAAAGGTGTGCGGCCTAAGTAAAATATAACAGGTTCTGTCAGCTGGCATGTAATTATTCATACAATTATTTAATAATAATTGTGACGTTTGCATATATTTTAATAAATAAATACCTTAAATGGTGAGGTGATCTATAAAACAAATTATTTAATATATTCTAGATTTTCGAGATCATTACAAAGTCTAATTTGTTGTTGTGACCTAAATAGAATATTTTCAACGACATTGAAAAATTAATTTTAAAAAATCCACGCCTATGTTGAGACATTGAAAAATTCATTTGAAAAAAATCCAATCTTAAAATGTGAATTTTCATCACAATTTTAATTGCAGGACTTGGATCCATTCAATTCACATCATCACTCATTGATATTTCAGAACTTTTAACCATGTCTTTATCAAAGCAATTTGTCTATATTCCGGGTAAGTAAAATATAATTCCCAATTTTTGCTAATTTATATTTTTTTATTTCAGGATGATCCGAATATTACTATATCCAAATGGAAATACCTACAATGGAAGGACCTTAATATGGACACAGTTTAAAATTAAAATTACTCCTTGGCCACCAGATCGCCTATAGAGACTCCCAGTTTCTGCCTGGCAGGAGGTACAATTTCTGGAATCGGAACAAAAAAAAAATAAAACTTATAAAAACATCCGGAGATCCGAATATTACTATATCCAAATGAAAATACCTAAAATCGAAGGACCTTACATATTACTATACCCAAATGAAAATACCTAGAATGGGAAAGACCTTAATATGGACACATTTTAAAGACAATAGCCTTTTTCGTTTTGTTTCTACTTTTACTTCCAGAACTCAAACACATCTTCTACTCAAAAAAGGCCGACAATTTTCTGATGTATTTTATACCCACATGGGCACACCGTTCGCATATAGAGACTCCATGCTTCAGCTCACCTTGGGAGGCAATCAGGCCTCATTTCATCTATGGAGGCTCCTTGGGCTTCAATTGGCCATTAAAGACTTATGAGAACTGTCTGCACGTCTCCTTGACCATCAGCTCGGCTATATAGACTCCCTGACCTTCAGCTTCAGTCTATAGAGATACCCTGACTTTCAGCTTGTCTATAGAGTCTTCCTGACCATCAGCACGGCTATAGTGAATTTAATTAATTCTTAAGAAAAAAATATATTAACAGGTTGTTCTTTAATATCACAAACACTTCCTGACCCACCCAATCCTTGGACTTCAGATCGAATATATACTCTTTGTTTTAGTTCTCACGCTTTAGCTATATAGACTTCTTGGCCTTCAGCTGCTCTATATAGAGACTGCATTCACCTCGTCGTTAGAGACTTTCTGATTCTATTCGTTTATAGAGAGACTTCATTGCCTTCAGTTCATATATTCTCCTTGGCCATCAGATCGCCTATAGAGGCTCTCAGTTCCTGCCTGGCTCGTCTGTAAAGAGCTGGCCGTCCTAACATTCGGCCCACCGTTCGCTGCAGCTCATCGGCTTATATATATCTATACTACAGCTCACCTTTGGAGACAATCAGGCCTCATTTCATCTATAGAGGCTCCTTGGACTTCAGTTGGCCATTAAAGACTTATGGGAACTGCCTGCACGTCTCCTTGACCATCAGCTCGTCTATACAGACTCCCTGACATTCAGCTCGTCTATAGAGACTCCCTGACTTTCAGTGAATTAGTGAATTTAAAAAAATCTTAAGAAAAAAATATTACCAAATAAAATCAGAATTGATTCGAACATTCAGGTTGTTCTTCAATATCACAAACACTCTCTGACCCACTCAATACTTGGACTTCAGATCGCATATTTAATCTTCGTTTTAGTTCTCACACTTTAGCTTTATAGACTTATTGGCCTTCAGCTCCTCTACATAGAGACTGCATTAACCTCGTCGTTAGAGACTGTCTGATTCTATTCGCCTATAGAGAGGCGTCATTGTCTTCAGCTCATATATTCTCCTTGGCCATTAGATCGCCTATAGAAACTCTCAGTTCCTGCCTGGCTCGTCTGTAAAGAGCTGGCCATCCTAACATTCAGCCTGTATATAAATTCATGGCTTCTGATCGGCTACTAGCCTTCTATTTATCCATCTATTGAGACTTTCTGGCCTTCAGCTTGGCTATTGATTTTTTTTTCAGATCGCCTAAAGAAATTATTTACCTACAACTTGTCTAAAGGGAATCAATGCTTCTTCTAGACACTCACTGGCCTTCTGAAAGTCCATAGATACTATCTATCCTCGAGCCTAGATATAAAAAAACCCATATATAAAAAAACCCAAAAAGCCTACAGGTAATCTATAAATAATCACTCCTTCTGTTAGGCACTCCCTGGCCTTCTGAAAGTCCATAGAAACTACCTAGTATTTAAAAAAAATCTATAGGCAGAATCTCCTGCTTCTAATCGTCTATAGAGATTCGATTTTCTTAAAAATTAAACCCACATATTTTATTTCTTATTTATTTATTCCATCAAAAATTTAACAAAAAAAATTGCAATAACCTCTCCAAATTAAAGTAGTGTCGCCAACACAGCCAAACTACAATTTTTACAGTGTCCCAGTAGGCAACGCGACCAATTTTCACCGCTGTTGCAGCTGAAATCATAATAAAGGCATTTGTATTTAAAAAAATAATTCGAACGAGACCCTAAAGAACTTACATATTTTTCTCATCATATTGTAAAGAACTCAAGCATCTTTTACCAGTTTCCGCAATTAGAGGTACATTACTTTCATCGCCCCCAAATAACACATAGGCAGCACGTTGAGGAACCTCGGGTGTAAATTTTCCATTGGAATCGAACTGGAAACAAATTAATCAAATATAAAATTAAAGTTATGGAGAGAAATCCGAAATCTGAATTTTTTCAAACTTACCCAACCACAGTTCTTCATGGCACAGGTGCGAAAACATTTGCTCTTGTCATCCTGAGCCTTCTTGAAGGCAATCCAATCGGTTAAAAGGGCTAAATTTAAAAAAAATCCCAAAAAATAAAATAAAAAAATAGAAATATTCGAAAACGAATATTACTAATCTATTGAATATTGTTTACAGCTTTACAGATGGATCTCATCTTATATTGGACCCTGCAAAATATAGGATTTACGTCAAAAATTGAATCTTTATTGAAAATTGGATGACAGAGGATCATATACCCAATCGAATAACAAGTTACAATCTATTCTTTAAACAAGTTCAATACCGAAAATTGCCAGTGCAGTAATATGGACACATTTGACATTAAAAAATCAGAAAATTTTCCAGTGCAGTAATAGTTTGAAACAAAAAAATCCTGCCATTTAAAAATCATAAACAAAGTTGAAAAACGTAATACAATTCTATACCTGAATGTAATAGCTAAAATCTCCGTCCTATTGTGTTTTGAATAATAAAAAATCTGAATATAGAGAACACGCAACATAAATTGTGGTGAATATGATCATTCAAAACTAAAAAAACCGGTGTCTCGAATATTTCTAATGCTGCCCTGAATACTAAATATCCTATAATGCTGAATATAATAGTTCAAAACACCGATGTCTGGATCATTACTAATGTCGCCTTGAATAATAAAAAATCTAAAGCCAAAACCTGAGGTCGAATATTACTAGTGACGTCTTGAATACGAAACGAAGCCGAGAGAACACGCAACTTAAATTGTGTATAGTCCTTTCGGTTGGAAAGGAAAACTCTTCGTCCTATAGTGGTGAATACGATAACTGAAAACTAAAAATTCCGGTGTCTCGAATATTACTAATGCTGCCCTACAATACTAAAAAAAATACATGTCAAAAGTCTTGAATAAGAAACAAAACATCGTATAAAAAATCTGCGATCGAATATTACTAATGATCAATCCAATAACCGCACAAGTTCCCAAAATAAGTGCAGGGTACGAATATAAAACGATAACAAACCACTTAAAAGTGAACCTTTAAAGTACAGCCATTTTAGTTGGTGTTCACGTAGCGAACATGGTTTTTAAATAATAAAAATAGTGAACGTCTTGCTGTGGGTCTCTTGTGTAGAAGAGAGAATATTTAGTTAAACAGGGATCTATTTTTGTCTACAGTCCACTTGAGATAAGAGATTATTTTGGTTAAATGTTTGTACGCAATAATAAGATTGGAGTTTTCTATTGCCACATGTGGTATGTTTGAGTGAGATTACGGGGAGTGATCTTCACTACAGACTGATAAGCATGCTTGCCACATGTGCTTGCACTCTCTCTCTCTCTCTTTTACACATTAGTCTAAGATAGGTTAAGTCAGATTGTAATATTTAGTTCTTAAGAAACACTTTTTATATTAATAAATTAGTGTGTAAATGCACCACAAACAATACAGAAGTGCTATCACTCCGCGGAGAATATCCGCGTAACCTAGAACAGATCCCTAGTTTTTCAGTTGAGAAAACGGTTCAATATACCCTTTGACCTATAGACCAATAAATCGAAACAAAAACTCCGGTATCTCGAATATTACTAATTTCATCAGGGATAATAAAAAAACTCCGACTAACCTGCCACTCTAAGATACAAATATGTACCTTATCTTCTTCGAAGTACATATTCTCATCGAAAAACATATCCTCCTAATCCAAGAAGTTTATGTTTGAAGTCTATTCCCTTTTTATACCCTACACAACTATGTTGTCAGGGTATTATAGCTTTGTGCAGCCCCAAGAGTTTGTAACACCGCGAAATATTGGTCATAGACCCACCTTTAAGTATACCGATCGTCATATCTCGACTAGCTGAGTCGATCTTGACATGTGTGTCCGTCCGTCTGCCCATTATAAATTGTAAACACCATACAGGCCACAGTTATGGACCAATTTTCACGAAATTTTGCATGTAGACCCCTATTGTTTTTGGTAAAGATCGGTAAATATTTAGTCGATGAAATGGATCAAATACTTCATTTTTGTCGGTTTTTCTGATCGCTCCAGAGGCCGCAATTATGGCCCAAACATCTCGAATTTTTACATGGAGAAGGGAATTGGGCCAAATAATAAGCATGTCTGTTTTAATAAAGATCGGTCAATATTTAGCGGATCAAATGGACCATGACTTTTGTGTGAAAAATGACTAATTTTGTATTCTACAGCTTATATATTTGCTCGTGAAGGACATAGAGCCGAGAAGTTGATAGTATATCCAAGACGAGTGATTGACCTTTAAATTGATACCAATTATATATATTATACTCGGATGTGGGAGTTGTACGTAAATATTTGCAGGTGCTTACGTATTCAGATATTATTTTATAAACCATTATCAAATTAGAGGGTGGAAATATAGCGCGGATCGCTTTGAAATGTTTCATGAGGTTCCAGTTATGGTCATGGACAACGCCTATAATTTTCGGTGATGATCAGATAATAATTTTGGGATGAAGTGGACCGAAAACTTATTTTTTGTGTTTTTTTTTTTCGATTCAATCTATAGGCTACAATTATAAACCGAACATACAACACAACCCACGGTGAAGGGAATATGGAAAAGTAATTAGAAGGGCTGTACTGAATATTTGTAATATTCGCAAAATATGTCAGTGGTTTTAAATTGCATTGCAAATAAAAATTCGCAAAAAGATAGAGTTCTGTGGTAGTTGTGTAGGGTAAACCTGCTCCGCTCACTGGTTTCTTTGTTAGGGATGATAACTAAAAACCTACTAAGCCTTATCTCCGTCCTGTTCTTGCAGACAATTCAGGAATATTTCCTAAAAACTCTGGTGTCTCGAATATTACTAATTGTCGTCTTGAATAATAAAAAAACAAAATAAATTGGCAACCTTGGACAAACATCCGGTGTCTCGAATATTACTAATTGTCATCCTGAATAATAAAAAACTAACTGGCAACCTACCGTTTTAAGATATATGTGCCTTATATGATCCACGAAAGTACATATCCTCATCGAAATACAGCTCTCCTAACCCAAGGCCCTTTCTGTTTGCCGATTATTCCCCCTTTCCCGAAAACAAAATTCTACTTACACTTATCTCCGCCATATTCCTGCCAAATTCCGCAAATATTTCCTTTATATCACAGCTAGGACAAAAATCCGATGTCTCGAATATTACTAATTTCTTCATGAATAATAAAAAAACTCTGAGGAGCCTGCCTTTCAAAGATATATGTGCCTTATCTTCTCTGGAAGTATATCCCCTTCGCAACACTGCTCTCCTAATCCAATGGGCTTTCTGTTTGCCGACTATTCCCCCTTTCCCAAAAATGGTTTTTCAATGACTAAAAAAATTTCCACTTACCCTTATCTCCACCATATTCCTGCAGACAATCGGCAAATATTTTCTTAATATCACCGCCAGGGCAAACATCAATCTAAAATAAAACACTTGCATTTAATTTATTATCCTGATTATCCCAAAAAAATGAACTTACAAGGCCATAACAGCCAACAACAACAATTATTAGCAAAATTCCGATCGATTTCATGGTTTACTTTTTGAATTTAAACACGAACTGAAGGCAATTTTAGGTTATAATACTCATATATAAACAAATTATGGCCAAAAATTCCTTATGAGCTTAAAACCGTATTTCGAATAAACGCACATTTAAAAAAAAATCCATTTATATTCGAATAATGTCTTCTAATTGCAAATAAATCTAATAAATATTGGGATTCGTTTATTAAAATTCTAGAGCAATAGCATATTTCATCAAAATCACATCAAAAAGTGTGAATTAAGGCAATGTATGTATACAGAGAGTGACATTAAAAAGGTGCACACTAAGACGGGATAGGAGGTATAGAAATTATATATAGACAAATTTTCTTTTACGGATGTCCTGAAAAATCATTCTTTAAAAAAGAAAATCCTGAAAAAATATTCTTTTAAAAGATACACGCCTCAGGCTGCCCTGAAAAATATACCTTAAAAACATACACGCCTTAGGCTGTCCTATAAAGATCCTTTAAAAACATACAAGCCTCAGGCTGCCCTGAAAAAAAAAATATTTTTTTAAAAAGAAACACACCTGTGGCTGTCAGAAAAAATATTCTTTCAAAAGATACACAACTCAGACTGTCCTGAAAAAAATGTTCTTTAAAAAGATACAGGCCTCAGGCTACCTTAAAAAATATTCTTTAATAAGATGCACGCCTCAAGCCATCCTGAAAAAATATTCTTTAAAAAGATACACACCTGAGACTGTCCTGAAAAAATGTTCTTTAAAAAGATGCACGCCTCCAGCCTACCCTAAAAAAAATTCTTTAATAAATCTACGTTTCAGAGTCCTCTGAAAAATATTCTTTAATAAATCCATACCTCTGGCTGTCCTGAAAAAATATTTTTTAATAAATCCACACGTCAGAGTCCCCTGAATTTTTTTCTTTACTAAATCCACGCCTCAGGCTGCCCTGAAAAAATACTATTCAATAAATCCATGCCTAAGATTGCCTTATAAATTGTACAGCCAATGGATCAATATACCCTTCGTCCTATAGTGGTGAATATATTAAATTGAAACTAAAAATTCTGGAGTCTCGAATATTACTAATGATTCATATTGAAAAAATTACTAAATATTTCAAAAAACAAAACTTCGATAACAAATCCCCACGCCTAAGGCTGTTCGGAATAAATATTCTTTTATAACTCCACGCCTAAGGCTGTTCGGAATAAATATTCTTTTATAACTCCACGCCTAAGGCTGTTCGGAATAAATATTCTTTTATAACTCCACGCCTAAGGCTGTTCGGAATAAATATTCTTTTATAACTCCACGCCTAAGGCTGTTCGGAATAAATATTCTTTTATAACTCCACGCCTAAGGCTGTTCGGAATAAATATTCTTTTATAACTCCACGCCTAAGGCTGTTCGGAATAAATATTCTTTTATAACTCCACGCCTAAGGCTGTTCGGAATAAATATTCTTTTATAACTCCACGCCTAAGGCTGTTCGGAATAAATATTCTTTTATAACTCCACGCCTAAGGCTGTTCGGAATAAATATTCTTTTATAACTCCACGCCTAAGGCTGTTCGGAATAAATATTCTTTTATAACTCCACGCCTAAGGCTGTTCGGAATAAATATTCTTTTATAACTCCACGCCTAAGGCTGTTCGGAATAAATATTCTTTTATAACTCCACGCCTAAGGCTGTTCGGAATAAATATTCTTTTATAACTCCACGCCTAAGACTGTTCGGAATAAATATTCTTTTATAACTCCACGCCTCATTTGGCCCTTGTTTTATTTTATTTTATTATCCACGCCTCAGTTGGCCCTGGAAAAATATTCTTTAATAAATCCACGCCTCAGTTGGCCCTTGAAAAATATTCTTTAATAAATCCACGCCTCAGTTGGCCCTTGAAAAATATTCTTTAATAAATCCACGCCTCAGTTGGCCCTTGAAAAATATTCTTTAATAAATTCACGCCTCAGTTGGCCCTTGAAAAATATTCTTTAATAAATCCACGCCTCAGTTGGCCCTTGAAAAATATTCTTTAATAAATCCACGCCTCAGTTGGCCCTTGAAAAATATTCTTTAATAAATCCACGCCTTTAGTTGGCCCTTGAAAAATATTTTTATGATAAAGTTTCAGTGGCCCTTGAAAAATATTCTTTAATAAATCCACGCCTCAGTTGGCCCTTGAAAAATATTCTTTAATAAATCCAAACCACAGTTGGCCCTTGAAAAATATTCTTTAATAAATCCACGCCTCAGTTTACCCTTGAAAAATATTCTTTAATAAATCCACGCCTCAGTTGGCCCTTGAAAAATATTCTTTAATAAATCCACGCCTCAGTTGGCCCTTGAAAAATATTCTTTAATAAATCCACGCCTCAGTTGGCCCTTGAAAAATAATTTATTAATATTTTTTAATCCACGCCTCAGTTGGCCCTTGAAAAATATTCTTTAATACACATCCCGAAAACATTTCTCAGTTGGCCCTTGAAAAATATTCTTTAATAAATCCACGCCTCAGTTGGCCCTTGAAAAATATTCTTTAATAAATCCACGCCTCAGTTGGCCCTTAAAAAATATTCTTTAATAAATCCACGCCTCAGTTGGCCCTTGAAAAATATTCTTTAATAAATCCACACCTCAGTTGGCCCTTGAAAAATATTCTTTAATAAATCCACGCCTCAGTTGGCCCTTGAAAAATATTCTTTAATAAATCCACGCCTCAGTTGGCCCTTGAAAAATATTCTTTAATAAATCCACGCCTCAGTTGGCCCTTGAAAAATATTCTTTAATAAATCCACGCCTCAGTTGGCCCTTGAAAAATATTATTTAATAAATCCACGCCTCAGGGCCCTTGAAAAATATTCTTTGATAAATCCACGCCTCAGTTGGCCCTTGAAAAATATTCTTTAATAAATCCACGCCTTGTTGGCCCTTTTTTTTTTAATATTGTTAAATAAATCCACGCCTAGTTTATTGAAAATTGTTTGTAATAAATCCACGATTCAGTTGGCCCTTGAAAAATATTCTTTAATAAATCCACGCCTCAGTTGGCCCTTGAAAAATATTCTTTAATAAATCCACGCCTTTTTGGCCCTTGAAAAATATTCTTTAATAAATCAACGCCTAAGTTGGCCCTTGAAAAATATTCTTTAGTAAATCCAGTTGGCCCTTGAAAAATCCAGTTGGCCCTTGAAAAAATATTCTTTAATAAATCCACGCCTCAGTTGGCCCTTGAAAAATATTCTTTAATAAATCCACGCCTCAGTTGGCCCTTGAAAAATATTCTTTAATAAATCCACGCCTCAGTTGGCCCTTGAAAAATATTCTTTAATAAATCCACGCCTCAGTTGGCCCTTGAAAAATATTCTTTAATAAATCCACGCCTCAGTTGGCCCTTGAAAAATATTCTTTAATAAATCCACGCCTCAGTTGGCCCTTGAAAAATATTCTTTAATAAATCCACGCCTCAGTTGGCCCTTGAAAAATATTCTTTAATAAATCCACGCCTCAGTTGGCCCTTGAAAAAAATTCTTTAATAAATCCACGCCTCAGTTGGCCCTTGAAAAATATTCTTTAATAAATCCACGCCTCAGTTGGCCCTTGAAAAAATATTCTTTAATAAATCCACGCCTCAGTGGCCCTTGAAAAATATTCTTTAATAAATCCACGCCTCAGTTGGCCCTTGAAAAATATTCTTTAATAAATCCACGCCTCTGTTGGCCCTTGAAAAATATTCTTTAATAAATCCACGCCTCAGTTGGCCCTTGAAAAATATTCTTTAATAAATCCACGCCTCAGGCGGCCCTTGAAAAATATTCTTTAATAAATCCACGCCTCAGTTGGCCCTTGAAAAATATTCTTTAATAAATCCACGCCTCAGTTGGCCCTTGAAAAATATTCTTTAATAAATCCACGCCTCAGTTGGCCCTTGAAAAATATTCTTTAATAAATCCACGCCTCAGTTGGCCCTTGAAAAATATTCTTTAATAAATCCACGCCTCAGTTGGCCCTTGAAAAATATTCTTTAATAAATCCACGCCTCAGTTGGCCCTTGAAAAATATTCTTTAATAAATCCACGCCTCAGTTGGCCCTTGAAAAATATTCTTTAATAAATCCACGCCTCAGTTGGCCCTTGAAAAATATTCTTTAATAAATCCACGCCTCAGTTGGCCCTTGAAAAATATTCTTTAATAAATCCACGCCTCAGTTGGCCCTTGAAAAATATTCTTTAATAAATCCACGCCTCAGTTGGCCCTTGAAAAATATTCTTTAATAAATCCACGCCTCAGTTGGCCCTTGAAAAATATTCTTTAATAAATCCACGCCTCAGTTGGCCCTTGAAAAATATTCTTTAATAAATCCACGCCTCAGTTGGCCCTTGAAAAATATTCTTTAATAAATCCACGCCTCAGTTGTCCCTTGAAAAATATTCTTTAATAAATCCACGCCTCAGTTGGCCCTTGAAAAATATTCTTTAATAAATCCACGCCTCAGTTGGCCCTTGAAAAATATTCTTTAATAAATCCACGCCTCAGTTGGCCCTTGAAAAATATTCTTTAATAAATCCACGCCTCAGTTGGCCCTTGAAAAAATATTCTTTAATAAATCCACGCCTCAGGTGGTCCCTTGAAAAAAATATTCTTTAATAAATCCACGCCTCAGTTGGCCCTTGAAAAATATTCTTTAATAAATCCACGCCTCAGTTGGCCCTTGAAAAATATTCTTTAATAAATCCACGCCTCAGTTGGCCCTTGAAAAATATTCTTTAATAAATCCACGCCTCAGTTGGCCCTTGAAAAATATTCTTTAATAAATCCACGCCTCAGTTGGCCCTTGAAAAATATTCTTTAATAAATCCACGCCTCAGTTGGCCCTTGAAAAATATTCTTTAATAAATCCACGCCTCAGTTGGCCCTTGAAAAATATTCTTTAATAAATCCACGCCTCAGTTGGCCCTTGAAAAATATTCTTTAATAAATCCACGCCTCAGTTGGCCCTTGAAAAATATTCTTTAA